CAATAATATTCACCAAGTGGCAGAACTATTTGTGCATTCGCTCGCACATTCTTCCATTTCTCATTGTATCAAGTACTTCCCCAAATACTCCATCCTCCCAACTGTCATACATGACACCCACCGATCTTCCCGCTACCGCTGACCCCTTTGCTATCATCACCTTATTCCTCTATTGCCCTTTCTCACTGTTTAGCATGACACCCTCCACATGCCGCTTAGCACTCACTCACGAGCTCTACGTCATCTCCCACCGGTAATAGCATCCACAATATTAACAAAATCTCCACATGCCAGACATTATATACTTAGTCACTTGCTCAGTTATTTACTCGCTGATTAAAATGCCACACGAAGTGAAATGGAGAAGGCCTCGTGTTGGCACAACCGCTCACACAAATACCGATTTTATAGCTTACAATACGTCTCGCACAACGGGTAGAACACCCACAGATGCTGGCTGCATTTAATTACCACGCGATAGATGTGTGCGTGCAAAAAGGTGCATGAGATGGACAGAAGGAGGGTAGGAGAGTCATCGATGTGGCATCTCCATCCACACACCTATCCATTTGCTGATTTGCCTGCGCTACGTTTTATCTCATTCTCCCGCCTGTCCAAATCTCTATAGGTAAAACTCACTTCCACTAATGAAGTGAATGGTGGATTCTTGCCGGCAGGTATAATTGAATGCATTGTTTGGATTCATTCAGGGCATTACTTTGGCTGCCCGTAATCCACTCATCTATCTGCGTGACTGTTTCTCTCTACACCTTTCTCTGTTGTAAATTTCATCAGGGATAACCAGGAATGAATTACCAAATCATCTATTTTGAGGGCACTAAGCCGAGCTTTTCATCAAGAGAGCGCTAATCCTTATAAAGGGCGCAAATATGCTGAAGCATGACATTCCACTCTTGTCAATTTCTTGAACAAGTGTTCCGAAAAACCTTGGCAGGACGTGTGTAAGTGAGGTCACAAGGGGTGCATGCGTTTACAGATGCGATGTTTCAAATATTTGTGCAAAAAACACCATTATGGTCAAACCCCTAGAAGCCGAGTTTGGATTGCCTCTACTCTACCTGCAAATAAGCATCACAATCACAGATGATGAGTTGTAAGCCGTGTCAATCTTCAGCTGCATCTCGCATCTGAAATAATTCACCGAAAGAGCTAGGCATCGAAGAATTGAGTCATTCCTGCAGCGACCTCTATACCGGTTGCCCATGGTTCTCACCACAAGGAACACGTGCCTCTAGATGACAATCCTGCAGTTAGAAGTGTAGAGAGGACAGAAAGCAAGGCTGTTCATAAGTAGAAAACAATTTGTATTTTCC